ATCAATATCAAGGATTTGGCTGGTTTTAGTTGGAGCAGCTGAGCACACTGTGTGTTGTAGATTTTAAAAAAAGGAAAAAAAATACTCCTGCAAAGTGTTGAATCTTTTGTCGAGCGAGGTTTCTTTTATTCTTTCTTTTTCCTGCCATTTTTGTTGCTCACCCACTCGCACTCTGCCACTCAACACTCATTGCATACACACTGGTAAACAGACAAGGCCATCCTAAGATGGTGAGATGAAGACGCGTGAGAGTGTGTGTATTATGTGCAGCGCTTGCTATAGCACGCATGTTCGATTTACAGCTCCGACACCCACGTACGCGGAGCACTCGGCAGATGCAGAGGCATCGGCTCAAAGCCGTAGAGTTATACCGAGATTCTGACGGAAGGAAGCACAATGAACACAGAGCAAGCGGCCATATATCTGACAGGGAGAAATGGCCCTCCTTGCTGTGTCCTTTTTTTGAAGTCTTTGCAGGGAAAGGGGGTAGAAATGGGACATCACAGTGGAGGTAACATCCATGCCTTGAGGTTGACCACAGGATCTGTGTGTGTGTGTGTGTGTGTGTGTCCACAGTTGGTTAGGCAGGTGGTGTGTGTGTTGCATAGCTGCAGGCTGCCTTGGCTCAGTCCCTTTCCTTTGTACGCCTGAAAGAGGCCAATTTCCAAGATGAATATGTGAAAGCTTAAGACCCTCGCTACATTTTTGCTTAGCCTTCTCATTTTTTAAAAGTTTTCCCAGGTGCTGACAAAAGCGTATAATGCCTACATGATGCCAGTTTTGTCAGTATCTTAACCTTGACTGTGTTTATGCAGACGGTTTCTCCGTGCTGAGATTTGATTGCCACGTGCTGACTGAAAGGACCGTTGATAAACCCAGATAAACATGTGCTGTTCATAGCAATGGACAGTTATATTTTGGCGTGTGTGTTTTTGCATGCAAATTTACAGCAACGCCGATGACTTCCTGTTCATCGAAAGCAGCGACTCGTTTTGCATGGGGAGGTCAGGTTTAGCAGAAATGGGCACGCTTGTGAACAAGGCCCTGTGGCGGCTGCGTTTGAAGCAGGCTGGGAGATTTATAAGATGAGCAGACTGTGTAAACAAAGCAATGCCTTCGTGTAGGTGTGCGCGCACACGCCGGGGCTCAACCAAAACTGCTGCACCAAGACAGCAGTGTGTCAAGTCTATCAGGGGTTGTGTCACAAGCTGACATCAGTTGCGTTATGTAAAGGCTTATGAAGGCTATCCTGGCAATGGAATATACAGGTGTAGTGCTTGCTGCCTTTTTAGTTGATGGGGAGCTGTACTGCTTGCGTACTGTTATCATTTCAGCGCCTCTTTGTAATTTGGGTGTTGAGAGCAAGTTTTTGTTGTGTGCTTATTGTCATCGGGTTACCCTCGAGTGAGACTTTGGTTTTTTGGAACAAAGCTCATCGGTTCTGCGAAGAGAGTAGTGTTGGTGTGTGTGTGGGCTGTGTAGTGTACCTTGCACTGTTGCGCTGGGACACAATCTCCACTCTTTCTTTTTCGCTCTCTCTCACAGTACCTAGAAGAGAGCTCAGTGTGTGCGCGCGCCCGTGTGTGCGCGTGAGCTATTAAAAGGTGACCTCCTTTTTCTAGGTCATTACCAAAAAAGAATGGATGGATTCTAGTTATGAATATCCAAAATTCTTGACAGAGAGGGATGAGAATGGCGAGGCATATTTCTTGCCTCAGGGAGGTTATGAGGGGAGCGAGGGGTGGGGGCGTGTTAGTGGGGAAGAGTTGGTGAGGGCATGGAAATGGCTGTGGCTGGCACTAGTACAATTTTTGGGGAGGAAAAAGTGAGGACAGAGGCTTGTAGTGTGTTGTCTGGGGAAAAGAGGGACATGATAGTTAAGGGAACACAGCGGAGGGAGATCTTGTGATGGGGTCACGAGAAATAAATCAGACATTAGGCTGGAGAGTGATCTTCTTGCTCCTTCGGTGAGCCGGTCTGCAGTCATTGCCAATGCAGCCCTGTTGCAAAGAATACGCTCTCTGTGTTTGACTTCTTTTGTTAGGCCGACCAGCGTGTAGCTTTCACTGCAGTGCATTGATTCATCCAGGAGAAATGAAGATGGTGCTTTTTGCTTTTTTTTTTTTTTAAAAAAAACACTGAACTATAAAGCCTGTCTAGTCTGTTATCCTAAATTGGGCATTTTGTTGGATGAAGGAGAGCCATTTTCCCCTTATGGATAAAGACTTTAGATATAAGAAATATATTTTTGAGATTAAGCTGTTTCTTCTCCATTGACAGGAAAGTGATTATCTCTCCCATTCCTTTCACTGTCCTAAGGTGTCAGAACCCCCTGACCTCAGACCATACCCCCCTCTCCCGCCCATCCCAAATGTTCTGCTTAACCGAGGCCCTTCTTCTCTGCGGTGAACCAAAATATGAAGAGCACAGAGCGAGCCTGAGGGGCTCGCAGTTATATTTACTGTCTGCTACGAAAGAGAGGAGAGAGAAGGGGCGGATGGGAGGGGTTTAAAAAAGAAGAGGAAAAAAAGAAAACACAGGAACGCAAAAAGAGGGAGACAGAGGAGGGGTTGCTATGGTAACGGAAATATGGCTGCTCTTCAAAAACCTTGAATGTAGGTGGTGGTGAGATGAGTGTAGCCTATGTGTGGTTTTTTTTTTTTTTTTTTTGTTTTCCCACGTCTTTCGTCTTTCCCTCTCAGTTCTGCAGATATCATTGATGTGCTGGATCCTGTTTGATATCACTGAGAACTCAAATGCCATCAGCCTGTTTGTTTTTAATATTTATTTATTTTCATGGCCTGAGGGTAAGGTTTTTAGGCAGTATGCAGACCTTAGAGGGCTATTGTGAAATGTAGGTTAGGCCTAACAGACCACCAATCGAGTGGTTTTTTTTTTTTTTTAATTTTAATTTTTTTCGGGATATAGAAAGGCTTAAAGTGTTGTTTTTGTTGTCTTTAACTGAAGGAAGAGTATGCGACTCTGACGGTGAAATCAGGGATGTTTTGGTATCAAAAGGTACATTTTATCTTGGCTGTTATGATGTTTGAAATATTATAATAGTTTTACTTCCAAATATGGAATCAGGATTGCAGGAAAGAATCACGGAGTGAGTTTCGCCCTTTGCCAAAAGATGACAGCAGGGGTCGTTGTCAGAGGCAGTTCACTGTTAGATGCTGGATATAGTAGGGCAAGCTGTCTTAATTGTCTTCATTAAATTAGCTCATATTTCCTTCACTCATCCCTCCTCTTTTTTTTTTTCCCTAGAAATATTTTTTGAATTGTTTACTTGGCAAACTGTGGAGCAACTTCCTGACACTAGACAAAGAAGCTTTGACATATGTGCACCCCTAATGAGTTTAGTTAATCAGTTTGGAATGTCAGTCAAGGGATTTTATAACAAGTTGACTAAGGACTCGTATGAGCATCCCGTATTAATATCATTTTGAGAAAAACATTGTCTATCCTATTAATTACCTCGAATGTCAAGTAACTAAACAGAAAAACGGACTGCAGCATGTCTGAGTTCATGTTACAGGTTCGGCTCTGGGTCTTGGCAGAAATGAGGGGTCTGATTTTTCAATATGAAAATGGGACAGTTCAGTGGCATCGAATAGGACTGGGTAGTGATATAGATTAACACCTCAGTGACAACAGATGCGATTTTATTCACAATATATTTCCTCTTGTTGTTTTTTTACTATTAAAATCTTTGCGGCTTTCTGTGTGTAACACACTGGTAGTTCATTGCTGTGGCGGTGACACATGAAGAGCGAACCATAACATCTTGTCTTGTGGATTTGCCTTTTTTTCTTTTTTTTTCTTTTTTTTCCTCCCCTGTTATTTCTCATTTCTTGTCTGCCACGTTTATATGAATATAGACTAAGTAGTAGTGTATACTGTGATGAGTAATTTATAAGCTCTCGTACCCAGCAGCGAGCTCTAATGTGTCCTGGGTCTATCCCCAGGCCATTTCCTGATAGGACCTTACCTCACCTAAGGAAGTGCACATCAGGCATCCCCTTACCCGGCTCATTTCAATGTGGAGGATTAGCAGCTTTAATCTCGGCTCCTCCCGAACAATCAACCTCCTCAACATGTCTCAAAGGGAGAGCAGAGATACTCTTTGGAGGAAGCTGATTTCTGCCACTCGTATCTGCAAGCTGATAGTAATTGGTGAGGGTGGGAACATAGGTTGATCTGTAAATTGGCAACTTCATGTCCATGCTCAGCTCTTTCTTCACCACAGTAGATCGGCACCACTTGCATATCATTGCTGATACTATAGCAATACATCAGTTAGTGTCCCGCTGCACAGTCCTCACTCTTACACACGGTCCTAAGTTACTTTAATTCTTCCACTTGGGTAAGAAATTCATCTCGAGTTTAGATTGGGTGGTCCACCCTTTTTCCAGCTGAGAAGCATGGCGTCAGCGGTAGAAGTACCAATGTGAACCAGACTCTTAAGACAGATGAACATGGAGGAATTGGTTGGTAACAACAACAAGCAAGTACCCATACTCCCACAGGACACCTTAAGGAACACAGTTGAATGTTTTCTCGAAGTCCACAGAAGACTTATCAACTTCCACTGCACAAATTTATTGGCAGAGCATTGGCATCGGCTCATTATCCTTAACTGCCATTGGCTATTTTCAAATAAATAGTTGACCTGTCAGTTCTGGATATCTTATGTTCAGGTATGATTGAATTTGTGTTCAGTCAGAGGTAGAGAACTAAAAGGAAAGCTAAGATTTTTGTTTCCTTGGCACATGTGAGACTTTCTCTTACTGTGCTCTTTACCAGTTTGGTGTTGCCATTTTTTTGGATTATACTAGAGTAGCTTTGCATGATCTAAAGTTCAAACTAATCCCAATTCATCTTTTACTTTGTCTTGATCGAGCCTCGGTCTGCTTACTGTTGCAATTTTGCTTTGATTGGGGACCCTCACGATAGGTGTTACCCACACTGCAACTATGATCCTGTGTCTTTGTGCTCAGGTACAGGAGAAAGTGGCAAGAGCACCTTCATCAAGCAGATGAGGATCATCCATGGAGCTGGATACTCTGATGAAGATAAAAGAGGCTTCATTCGACTTGTTTATCAAAACATCTTCACCTCCATGCAGTCCATGATCCGCGCCACTGAGAACCTCAAGATCCCCTACAAATATGAAGACAACCGGGTAAAGGCTATTGTGGTTTTCTCCTGTTAACTTTTATTATTTTAAAAGAGCTTCCATGCCTCTGTGCAATGAGGATTTTGTAAGATTCCCTAAGAAATCGACTAGTGCAGATTTATTTATATTGCTTTCTTTTATAGGGACGGGTCAGGAATGAAATTTATTAGTTCGTCAAAAGTGAAACTGAAGCAGTGTAGCCCCCTTTTTTTTTTTTTTTGGACGACATCCTCAGTGCAGATGCCATTTTCTTTCTCAGAGTTTGACCAACTGTCTTTTTTAAAATCTTTCCAAGAAAGAACTTCTGGCACGCAAGAAGTGATGCATTTAGTTTGTCTAGCAGAAACATTATCTTTGGAAAAAGTAGAATAGGTGGGTGGTTGGGCTCGGATGTTTGGTCTAAACAGACAGTGGAAAAAATCTGCTGTTTGCAGAAATATCAAAAGTCTACAGCTGAAAACTGAAATGACTGGATAATTCTTGTAGTTTTTAAAAAATCAGATCTATATTTCTGTTTGCTGTGTTGTGGCCATGTATGTCAGATCTTTTGTTACTTACTTCACCTTTTGTCTTCCCAGGCTAATGCTATGCTTGTGAAGGAGGTGGACATTGAGAAGATCAATAGTTTTGAGCAACCATACATCACAGCTATTAAAACCCTGTGGGCTGATCCAGGAATCCAGGAGGCCTACGACCGTCGCAGAGAATACCAGCTCTCTGACTCCACAAAATAGTACGTCTTTTCACCTCGCTTTGCAGACGATGGTCATGGTATCTGTGTAAAGTTTCAGAATGTTATTTATGAGCTGCGTGTAATTTTTGTCTGTAATGCTGGTTTGGGAACATTTGTCACCTATTTAACCATTTTATTTTTGGCCTTGTGTAAGACCCATCTTGTTTGGTATCCGTTTTAAATTACTATAATTTAAGTGTAGTCGATGACTGATGTATGTTTTTTTTTTTTTTTTTTTTTTTTTTTTTTTTAAATGAAAAATAAATCTGTTCCCAAACCTGCATTAAAAATGTTGCATTGGTCTCATCTCATGTGAAAATGAAATGAGACCAACCAAGAAACGAGAAATATGATGCGGGGGTGCCTGTGCTTAATTAATGTGAGACTGAGCAGCTGCAATATAAAGAGCTGTTTCACTAAATTCAAGGTCATTGTTTCTCTCTGCGAAGCTAGGTTCAGCCTGACGTAAGTTTAAAAATATATATTTCATGATTTTGGGGGGGGAACTGACACTGTGTGTAGCAGGGACACAGTTGTCTTCAGAGGTCAAGATGCTAATTTTCAGAGTAATTAAGGTGTGGTTGGATGTGTGGGGTTGGTGTCAGGTTCTGTGTGGGTTTCGGTGTATATGCTGGGCAGAGCAGCACATTAGCCTTTTGTCCACTGGAAAATTTGGCTGACAAATTACAAAAATCTCCTGTTTATTTGACAATCTGTCATGAAAATGGCACTATTTAGCTTTTAATTGATATTAGTGTAATTAGTTGTACGAGGAAAAAAAAGACTTGTTATTGGAGAGAGACTGATTTCACTGGCCCATCCAACTAAATAAGAATAAACACTGAAACCACTATGGAGCCCCTTATTTTACCCTGAGCTTGAGCTTCATGCAGTCATCAGTGAAAACACACTAAAGTAAGTCTTACAGTAGCTTCCAATTTCTGTGTCCAGATTGGCTAGAAACGGTGCCATTTGTCTTTAGAGAAAAGATGCACTGCTAGTAATTGTTTAAAAAAAGAAAAGAAAAAAAGAACTTGGTAAGGTGTACACCCTTTGTGTCACAATACATGACTCCAGGGTGCAAAGCCAAAGGCCATCGCTCACTCTTTAGTGCCCCCTGGTTGTGCTTGCTCTGTACTGCAGGTCAAGTTTGTGTGCATGCAGATGCGTTTGCAGTTTGACATCAAATATGTAAGGTTTGTATTTGTTTAAGCATGCGTATGACAGAATGAAATGCAAGTAAATCATTGAATGATGTCTTCAGTTCAGTGTTATCCACACTGTTCGTGTATATCTCCAGTTACCTTAGTGATATAGACCGTGTGACTGCGGAGGGTTATGTTCCCACCCAGCAAGATGTACTGAGGGTCCGTGTTCCCACCACGGGTATAATAGAGTACCCGTTTGACCTGGAGAACGTCATCTTCAGGTACTCCCTCAAGGCACCAGGACTGCAGCGTCACCATGACTAGAGGACACAAACCACTGATGACTGTCAGTGTAAAAGAAGTAGCTCAGAATCATTTATTTCCAAAAAAAAGATTAAAGTTGGGACAAACAATACTAATTGTTTGTCCCAATGAGGCTATCAGTGGTTTGTGTGTAGCATCGTCTTCTAGTTCTGGCCCCAAGGGGAAAGGAGAACCTAAGGCCAGACATGTTGCACTGAAGGGAGCAGCAACAAAGTACAGATAAAGAAGGATTAGGCAGAGATGTCAAAGATTCTCCAGGAATTTGTCATGAAATATTAGACAATTGGATGCACATTGAAAGGCAGAAGAATTTAACCTTTAAAGAAACAAAGGGGAATATGTTTCCCGTTGTCCTTGATGTCAGACTTGTCCAATCCTTGTTTATCTGATACAGGTGCTGCTGTTTCCACTGCTAAAGTCACTGCTGCTGTCACCGATGCCACCTACACTGTCTGCACCACCATATTCCACAAATGTCTTGACCTCAGTGTCCATGGTCAGTTAAAGATAAACTGCTAATGTCAAAGCTCTGGGAATAGTGTTGGTGGAGCAGTGGCACTAACACCTTTTTGTTTCTGTGATGCGGCCTTCTCTGTGAGTCTTCTTCAACAGGACTGATCCACACTTTCCTGGAATGGCTGTGGTGTTGCGGTAATTGCCTGCCACGCTTTATATAACTGTTTTCCTGTCTCTCCCCTCCCTCTTTTTATTTTTTATTTTTTTTATATTCCTTTTTCCTGACTGGCTCGTTTGTAGTTATCTTTCGGATCTGGATCGTATTTCAGATTCCAACTATCTTCCCACACAGCAGGATGTACTCAGGGTGCGCATCCCCACTACAGGAATCATAGAGTACCCCTTCGACTTGCAAAGCATCATTTTCAGGTAGAAAGACGGCTGTTTTGGCTGCGTCCATTCATGTTTTGTCGTGACGTCATTAACTCATTTGATGTTTTATTTTTATTTTTCTTCTCCCCTAAGTCCCAAATAAACCATCTATTTTTTCCTCACAATGACTGAAAATAACTCAACACTTTTGATTTATCCATGCGGGTTCTTTGTCTGTATCCCATCCCATACTCTCTTCAATCATTAAAAAGTAGAAGTTGTCATCTTTTTACAGTCTCCCATAGTTGCGTACCTACCTGGCGCTATGAACAACAGTCACATGCACACAAATCACAGTCCCCTAATGAAACAAAGTCCTACATTTTGGTGCCCGGTCTCTGTAAATGGGTCACCTCCTCTATTCCTCTTCCTCTCCGGCTGGCAGAAGAAACGAGGTCGTCCTCTCCGCGGTGGAGGAATGTTATTTCGGGCAGCAGGTCCTGCAGGGCCTATATTGGCCCTGGGTCTCTGTGGACCACTGTGGACTGGGCCACCACCAGGGGGCACCAGTGAGCTGTGACTTTAAGCTTATTTGTACGACTGCTCTGAAGGCAAGTACCTGTGCATCCAGAGGTGCTTGAAAATACTCTGATATAAATTGGAGAGATGCCATTTATCTGCTGTTTCATCAGGCAAATGTTCTTGACTTCAAAGATTTAATTAAATCAATTGTCACAAAGGGGCTTAATGAAACTGGGACCTACAGTCCCAGATGAGTGAAGGCTGACCTTGTCAAGGAGAAGCTCAAGAAACCTGAAACCACATGAGGACTCAGAGTATCTCTTAGGTTTAATCTTGACTCTAAATGCTATGCCTATGACTGGCTTCAGACTTTTTTTTATTTTTATTTTTTTATTTTGGCTTACCTACTGCCAGCACATGTGCTGAAATCAAACTGAAATGCAAATTTTTATTTTATTTTGTAATTTGCCTTCCATATCTTTGCTTCCAACACGCTCTCGGCTCTGCCTCCTGTCCTCTGTCACGTCCCCCTCCCCAGCTCTTGTTTTATCCTGTCTTATGTCTCTCTGGTGTCCTTTTTGTCTTTGACTGTGCTTCAAAGCATTTACAACTGTTATGTTCTACTCTATCGCACACACTGGGGAAGGGTGAGAAAGCTTTGTAGTAGTGAAAAATGTGTTATGAGCTTCTATTTTCAACATGACACACAAACAGAAGTACAGACTAATCTGTTATCAACTAAAACGGTTAACTGTTGCTAGGGCCATAAAGAGTTTCAGGTGAATATGCCACAATACGCTACTAACTATATGAGACTACTGAACAGTTAAAATTCACCTATGCACCCACCTGTGCATGTTAGTGGTCTATAATACCTGTTACATACTGGGTGGGGTTAGCAATACTGAGGAGGCAACAATTTCTTGTATGGACATAACTGGAATGACTGTTTTTTGTAGTTTCTTTGGTTCATGTTTGTAACTTGGGCATTTAGCAAACAATAAAAGTAACACAACTTCCTAAGTTCCTTCCTGTTTCTATTGTCTGTCTTAAATGGAAAGCTTGCCTGGTGGCGTGCATGACTCGCACACAACAAAAACACGTGCACGCTCCACATCTGTGTCTGTGTGTGGGTTTTTTTTTGTTTTTTTTTTTGTTTTTCCTGTATAGAGAGATCTGTACACTGATACACTTGAAAGTATTTCAAAGAAGATGTTGAATCCATCAGGGTTCTTGTTTCAGCAACTTTAAAATGAAGTTAATAGGACCAAATCTTTTAACAAATGGTCAGGACCCAGAATAAATGTTGGGCCTATTTCTGCTGTCTCTTAAAAATGACAGTGAAAATATGCTTTGGTGGGTCCCTGGATGAAAGGCTGAATCTTTTATGTAGGTCATATGCAGAAAATGTTTAAGGGGGATGTACTCCAGTGAGAGAGTTCTTCTGTTACGCAAAATGGAATGAAACAGAAGTGTATCTTGTTGAAAAGGCCAGATTATTAAGTTGTGTATTAGTAATTCATAGAATATGCAAGATTTACGCTTGTGTGAGTTCACTAAATGCGTCTTGATGGATTCAAAATCTTTGCATAATCTGTAAGAATAAGCTTCTCAAGCCTTGCTAGAGTGCGAGGACTCTTGAGAGCTTAAACTTTTGTTTAACACTAAGCACTCTTTTAGTTCCATTAATCACTTACCATAAACTAGGCCACCCAAACTTGCATGCTAATTTATTTTTCCCCCCTTCTTTTTTTTCACTTTTTATCCTCCTTCGCCTTCATCCTGCCATCAGGATGGTAGATGTAGGGGGCCAGAGGTCAGAGAGGAGGAAGTGGATTCACTGCTTTGAGAATGTCACTTCCATTATGTTTCTTGTGGCGCTGAGTGAGTATGATCAGGTCCTGGTGGAGTCAGACAATGAGGTAAGTGCGACAAATGGTTTGTATTTAGAGTATTCTGGATATTTTAGTCTGAAGATGACTTCAATATTGACGCCAAATTAACATTCTGTTTCTGCTCAACACTGTTCTCATCAGAACCGCATGGAAGAGAGTAAGGCTCTGTTCAGGACTATCATTACCTACCCGTGGTTTCAAAACTCCTCTGTCATCCTCTTCCTTAATAAGAAAGACCTGCTAGAGGAGAAGATCACCTACTCGCACTTGGTGGACTACTTTCCCGAGTTTGATGGTGAGATCATCTACGTGTTTGTGTTGAGTGATTGACACATGCGTTTGGTTCCTGCTAGAAATCAGACTTGTCACAATATCATCGCTTTCGATTGATATTCAGATGAGGGATTTAAAGATGTGCAGTGTTGGTTATTCTGTCAAAGACATGGATGATAGCAGTGTTAATAAAGTGATAAGCATCATATGTGCCAGTGTGATGTTAGTAAAACTGGGTTTGACTCAGCTGAGCTAATCCACAAATCAGTTTGAAGCAACTTTTCCTTAGTGTGGACCAAAGTTGTGAAGGTGACTTGAAGTACAATGCACACTCGCACATCCTCACCCATTTCTGCATTTTTAGGTCCCCAGAGAGATGCACAGGCGGCGCGGGAGTTCATCCTCAAGATGTTTGTGGACTTAAACCCAGACAGCGACAAGATCATCTACTCTCACTTCACTTGTGCCACGGACACTGAGAACATCCGCTTTGTGTTTGCAGCTGTCAAAGACACCATCCTACAGCTCAATCTCAAAGAGTACAACCTGGTGTGAGGGCTCAAATGCGACGCACATCTCCTCCCCCACTGCACAAATGCACACCTCTTTGGGAATGTGCCGTCAGCTCCACATGCATTACACAGCACATCACTCCAGCTCACATACACAAACACACACAGCCGCAGATGTGCTCGCATGCACGCACACAATCCCTCCCCCAACAGAACCGTTTTTTTTGTTTGTTTTTTTTCTCCCCCTTTCTCCCAGTACAGTGAACCCACAGATCCTCCCACCTGCAGACGTTGCCCCTCTTCTTTCACCAAAGCCTCTTCCTCCTCCTCTCGGCAGCTTGCTGTGTTAGTCTTCAGTCCTCCCAAAGCTGCTCTGTGTGTGTGGGTGTGGATTTGGCCCCGGCTGCTGGCTCTGGCACACAAACCTTTCACACGAGCTATACAGTGACTGGAGGGGATTTTGGTGTGAGTGCGTGTGTGTGTTTGTGTATTGGGGGCATCATTGATTAGAGAGGATCTGTGTTTCGGTGAATAGCGGCATCATACCCCCTGGCCCTTCGGAGTTTACCTTCAGCGGTGCGAGAGCAGATCCTCCGTCGTCTCCTTTCCACGCTCCTGCCAGTGTGGAATTAACAGAGTTCCATATTTTCTGACACAATCTGAGGACCTGAGAGATACTTCAGAGCGACTCGGTGGGGGACGGGACTGAGGATTCTGTCTCAATCTTGCGTCTATGAATGTACCCACCAGTGTGAGCATCGCAATCACAAAAAATAGAAAAAAATATATATTATGAAGTAAATGCATATGTAAACACTTAAAACATGAAGGGGGGAGGGGGTCAGGGAGCAGGAGATGGCTAATCAAAATCTGTTAATTGCTGAGATTAAAAAAAAAAACACTTTTTAATGTATTTAACAAGTATGATTAAATGGAGTGGTTGTAAGAAAATTTTGCAAGGCGACAAAAAAATTTAAAGAAGCAACCAGAAATTTACATGACAATAGGTATCCTTTTAAGATCTTTTTCTTTTTTATGTTTAAGTTGATCACATGCTTCCCCCCTCCAGATGTTATCTATATGGATTCACAGGAACAATCTTCCAAAGTATCATCAGTGAATCTGGCTCCACTGGTACCCATCCAATGCCCCATTATGAGACACTAAGTAGCGGGTGAGAGGACAGCTGCTTTCAATGAGGCTCTGCTCTGATTGGTGGAAGCGGATGCGGAGGGGAGCTGATGTCATCAGTGTTCAGAGCACATCTGCAGCTCGGGCTGCGAGTAGCTTAATTCCACAAAAACAAAAAAAGCTGCAGTGCCCGCACTCTAAGGCACGAGTAGAATCCATGCGGTAACATCTGATGACATCACTCAGCCGTCCAATCAGACACACTTCCTATAACGGGAGGTGCTTCTGTTTACTTTCCTTAATTTGTTTTTTTAAAACTGTATAGTCACTTTGTTTATAAAAAGAAAAAAAAAAAAGATTGCTTAATGTTGAGTGATTTAGAGGAAGGGGTGGTTATGAACCTTTCACAGAAAACACTAAAGTCTGCAAATGTTTGTGTATATCTGTTTGTAAATACATATACACAAAACACTCCTGTACAGAAACGCTCTGTGGTACACCATCTTTGGCCAAAAAAAAAAACCAAACGTACAAAAAAAGTATTCACATACATATTTTTCTTTTGTGTTTTTCCTATGAATTTATGGTAGTATTGATACTGTGATTATGGATTTTTGTTCACTTGATTAATAGGACTACACGCAGCTGATTGGTGTTTAGGAAACAAGCGGCAAGGGAGCAAGAAAGGGGGATTTACTCCCAACCAGCCTCAGAACACCTCACTACTCCATTAGCTCTGTCTCTAGAGTTATTCTAACTAGGGCTGGTTTAAAAAAGAATCTTCACAGTATGGGGACAAGATAATTTTAAAAGTAATTAAAGATTTTTTTTTTTTTTTTTAATTTATATAATTTATGGACCAGGTTTGAAGGTGTTGATAATTTGACTGCTTTCGATTTTGTTGAGTTTGTTTTTCCTCTCCGCCTAACTTGAGTCTGAACTGCTGTAAAAATGAATGTCTGGTAGTGTAAGGATCTTATTTCTGCTTTCTCTTTCTTATTGAGACCTTTCCAGTTGTACTTGCGATGACATCTCCATTCATGATGAACCTGTTTTTCTTTAGGAGCCCTCACATTTTAATTTTTTATTTTAAGAAATTCATATTTTTCTGTTTATAGATGCAGTGCTGTAATGAATACCTAAGAAAATGTACAGTGTGAACATAGTTGGTTTTTTTTTTTTTTTTTTTTTTTTTTTTTTTTTTTTTTTTTTTTTGGGGGGCGGGACGGGTCTGGCTCGTGAGTAGTGCCAGTGAAGTATGGATATACTTTTTCTTTTTCTTTTTTTTTCTCTCCTTTCAGTGTCTTTGACCTTTTCTACAGGTGACTTACCCTTCATCCTCATTAAGGGCTATCACAGTGCATAAGGCATCAGACAGTGGGGAGTGGAGTACAGGACCACAGTGAACCAAGTCATCCAATACTAATGTGTTTATAAATGGAGATTACTTGCAGTATGTGCTTTAAGAAGTATAGGCAGGGTGTTTGTGTGTGTAGAGAGTTTACCACCACTAAGCAGTTTTCTTAATGCATTTAAGTATCGGGCCCTACGGCCAACCTGATCTTCACTACGTTTTGTTTGCATTGGTATCACAGAGTTACCTGTGACACCCTGTGCAGTATAGAAACACTTATCAGTAAAGACACTACTACCAGGACAAGTATTGTGTGTTTTCCAGAGTATTTGAGCTATAGATGATAGCCAGGAATTTATTTTAAATTTTTTGTGTGTGTGTGTGCGCGCGCGCGTGTGCATATTTTCACCTGTCCACATTTAGACGTTGATTTTCTAGGCAGCCATTACTGTCAGCTGAAGCCAGTAGAGGGGTCTGATTTGCTCCAAATTCGGCCTTTCTTTGCGTAGAAGTTGTTGTTGTCGTTGTTGTCGTTGTTGTCGTGTGATAGCTACCTCTTAAATCATGGACTTGGGCACATAAACTTGGGCAACTTTTCCGCATTGTCAGACTCTGCTGCGTTATCATGTAATTACATAGACAACACTAAATATTCCCTGAGAAGTGGGAACTTTTTTTCTAAAGCCCCTTAACATTTAAGTTTCTTGAAATCCTCATCCACTATCCAAGAGCAGAGGTCTGTGGAAATTTACAGTTTCTCTGAAGTGACTTGTTTGTTTTTCTTTTTCTTTTTTCTTTTAAATGAGCGGAAACCAAAGGCTACACAAGTCAGTAGTTCAACTTAAAATGTAGGTATGCTTCAAAAGTGCTAAGTGGTGAAATAATGTCTGAACATTAATGTATACATATATATTTAAAGAAAAAACAACACCAGTGTGGTTCTTAATGGCCATTTCTGTCTGCTGAAAATGACCCTGCTTTTGTGGTGACAGCCAACTATTTGGTCTGCTGTCTTAAGGAGGAAATGAAGTGGGATGACTAAATCTGTATAAATCCCCAAGTATTTATCAGTAGTTGTGTTATTATTTACTGTGTGTGGAGTGCAGCTCGCTTTATTGGTGACGAACCATTTCAAACTTGACTCTTCAACTCTGGCACATGGTGAAGTCGCGTGGTGGCTGTCGGTGTGGGTTTGTTAGCAGGCCAGCGTTGCACAGCATGTTATTTTTGTGACACATTTTTGTCTCAACATATGAGCGGGAAAGGGGGAGGGCAGTTGTTATGATAAATAATTATCCTGTCTTTAGCATTAACTTGTTAAAACAAAAAGACTGTTTTCACTACAACACTTATTTATTGCCTTTCATTGCCTTGACTAACAAGAGATGGTAAACCTGGCCCTGTGCGGTTTTCCTTTTGCCACGTTTGGGCGATCAGGGTTGTGTGGCGCCCCCTTCCCATGGGCTCGTTGTTGGACTAAGGGGCATCAAACGTATCTTTTGGACATCAGTGTGAAGTTGGTGCATACTCAAATGTTTCCCCCTCCCCCCCTTTTTTTTTTTTTTCCCCCCCCTCTTCTTTTTTGGTGATTTATTTTTTTTCTTCCTCTTTCTCTGTATGATAAGACATTACCAGAACACTATTTTAGGACCACTTGATTTAATTTCCCTCACTCAAGTGAAACCCGAAGGTCAATTGTGTAGTGGTGTGTGTATAAAATGCTGTTTTGTTTGTTTTCTTTCTCTTTATTTTGTATGTAAACCAAATGTAAATTATGTATTATACTGAGTGTGCCAACCCCACTCTCTCTAGAGCCAGGCTCTCTCTCCAAGTGCCAACGCTGTGGTCATTTATCAAAAGGGCCACCACCCGAGATGGTCCCCCTTTTTAAATAAAACACACCAGAGACTAAAAGGATCCATGATTTAAGTACACACGAAGACTTTATTCTGTATTTAAGATCGAAGATTTAGGAGATAATCTGCTGTTTTCTAAGAAACTGTAATTATAATTGCATGTGCTGTTTATTTTGTGTTGGAAGTGAGGGCTTGGATGTTTTCACTGAAGCAGAGCCCTTTTACGAAGGGGTTTCAATCAGTTGGTTATTATCAATTTATTGATTTACATAACTCTTGCCATATTTTATTTTATTTTTTGTGTGTTTCATGTATTTGTTTCAACCACTGTTGCCTGATCCTCATTCAAACATGAACATGACTTATGATCATTGCCGCCTTCTAAGAGAGAAACATAATGACAAGGTATCTGTTTTAAATTGAAATAAATTTGTTCCTATACTTGCTGATGATGTGTTGCGTGGGTTTTATATCTTCAGTTGAATAAAAATCGAATTCTGATTGGTAATGTCAAGTTGATGATTAAAGCCGGGGTAGTCTGTATTTATTTGAGATCTGAAAGAGCATGACCTGGATTCGTTTTTCTTCCTTAATTTTTGGGGGCATATTAGGCTTTGTTAGACAAGACTATGTAGGTTAAATGGGATCTTGAGAAGGTGAGTGTCAGAAACTTGAACCCAGATTATTACTCAGGATTATAGGTACACGGGTTTCCTGCCTGGGGTCTTTGACCAGTCACAGGTTTTTAGGGACTGTGCATCCCTAGAAGACGATGATGATAAAGAAGATAGATGTTCAGCCTGATTCAAATGAAGACTTCCCTGTAGGAAAACCATCCCAGTGTTAACATGTAGGGTTTAGAAGAGAAAACCCATGTCATGCTTGGAAAAGCCTTTAAGCAATGTGTTTTTACCACAACTACTACTAGACAGGTCAGCTGATTAATATTTTCCTCGTGATGTGCAAGTGTGTTACTGTGGCAGCAAAGTGGCTTTGTCACATGTAACTAATAATGTAACATTCTAACAGTGACCACTGAGTTAAATCAGTCAGCCTGATGTTACAGTAATGTTGTGGCTTTAGTTGCCTACAAATTTTCAGGGGGAAAAAAAGCAAAACATAACTTAGTACTTGGTGGAAAAACCCTTGTTGACAAGTACCTCGGTAAGACTTTTCTTGTAGCTGTTCACCAGGTTTGCACACATGTCAGGTGAGAGCTCTTCCTCCAAACACCCAAGAGAGATATGTGCAAACCTGAGAGACTTTACTAAAACTCTAAATCCTTTAGCTTTCTTAGCTGCTGTAAGGCAACTTCATTTATTCTTTAGGATGAAAATGAACATTTTATGTTGGACAGTGAAATGATCACATTCACTTTTTTTTTCTAGATTTTAAAACCTTTGTGGCTGTAGCTCAGGTGGCAGAGCAGGTCAGCCACTAATCAGAAGGTCGGTGGTTCGATCCCAGGCTGCCTCCTGGCTGCATGCCAAATATCCTTGGGCAAGATACTAACCCCATGTTTGCCTACTGGTGGTGGTCAGAGGGCC